AGGCAGGGTTAATGATCACAGCGCTAATTAGGGCAGCTTGTCCCCTCTGGGTGCTGGGCTCTGTGCCCCACAACCCCCCCTTGGTGCCTCCTGGGGGCACTGGGTCACTTCCAGGCGTCGGAGCAGCCGTGGGCACGTGGGGATGTGGCATCTTGGGGAGGGGAGGAAGAGGAGGGGTCCTTCCTCCTTATGGGGTGATGGGGACACAGAGAACATCTGGGGGTTGGGGGGTGGGTTGGGGGCTTTTCTTGGCCCTATCACAATTAAGGGAACGGAGCAAAGCTCGGGGGGGTTGGGTACCCCAAGTGGTTCCCCCACTGTCACAGGGCTGCTGTCACCTCCCTGAGCACGGGGACATTGGGACAGCACTCAGCTCCATGCTGGGACCCCCCCAGCACTGAGACAGATGACACCCAAAGTGAGTCCTACAGCGAGGTGGGGGGGTTCTAAATACCAATTCCTGCTTGTGGGAGAAAGCAGAGCTCCCCACAACCCCCACCCCCCCATGCTGCTGCTGGTGGGGGGGGGGTGGGAAGCTCAGGGCTGCAGGGATTGCTGTGAGCAGGACAGCACGAATTGCTCCAGCTGTGAGCACATCTGGCACACAGCCCTCACTCCCAGCAGGGCTGTGCTGTGCTCGGAGCCCCCCCCGGCCCCCCAGCACTGCTCCCAGGGCTGCACAGGGCTGCGGGTTCTGCTCCCCAGCTCTGCTCAGCACGTGCCCAGCAGCAAGGCCACCGGGTTGGCAGTAACCATGGCAAAGGCAGGGCTGCTCCCCCAGCAATGCGCTAACGAGCACGGCCTCCATCCCACTGCCAAAACCAACGGGAGGGGGGAGGGAAGGAGGGGGGCCATGCGGCCCCCAAAGCCCCAGCAAAGGTCAGGGATCCGGGAACTGAACTGGAATGCCATGCAGAGGCTGAGCAGCTGTAATCGTGGGCCTGGGCTCTGCCAAAATAAGCATCCTCTGCCCTGGTGCTGGGGATTCTGCTTCCCTGGAAGTGCAGACAGCATCCAGGAGCGGTGCTTCACCCATCAGGAGTGCAGGAAACTGGGAAACAACCGCACAGACAGCAGGAAGTGGGAAGGTTTGCTCATCACGCAGCATCCCCCAATTCCTGCAGCGTTGCTCTGAGCCCAGGTTGTGCAGCAGGGATGCAGGGTGACCTGCAAGCCGTGCCCTCATATGTGCAACTCCAACCCACACTCAGCTCTGGGTGATGGGATGGAGCCCTCCCTGCAGCCCCAGCGCCTCACGCAGGCGGTGCAGGCAGCCAAGGCCGGCACAGAGAGGCTGCCCTGGCAGGCTGCAGAACCAGAGCTCCAAATCCATAATTCCTCTGGCACCCCGCGGTTATTTGCGAGCTGCTGTGAGCAGATGGAGGAGTTGCAGATAAAGCCATCCGCAGCACGGGAGCCGCTCGCCTTCCCCGCTCAGCGCCGCGTGGGCAGGGGGAGAAAAAATAAAATAATAAGGGGAAAAAAAGAGAGAGAGAAAAAAAAAAAAAGGCAGAAAAAGGAGAGAGAGAGAGAGGAAGGAGATGGATGGCCATTTGTGCGGGGCTGAGCTGCCATCTCGCACACCTCCATGCAGTGCTGGGCCCTCCATAGGGAGCACTGCAGCCGTGCCGGGGTGACATTGGCACTGCCAGGCAGGGCTGAACGCTGATGGGAGCTGGCAGCACATCGGTCCCGGAGGGGGAACGAAGGAGAGGAGCTGACGTCAGCCGTGGGAAGGACAGCAGCCCACTGGGCAGAGGCTGCGGGGTGCTGCTCACACCACCTCCAAGGAGAGAATTAAGCTCTGCTTCGGAGACCGTGAAGTCGGAGCTGTGATGTGGTGCCCAGCGCCGTGGCAGACAGACACACAAACATCAGACGGGGCTGCGGTGCCAAGGCACAGCCCCAGCAGCTCCTCCATAGGAAACTGCAGCTCACAGAAAGGGCTCAGGGCTGCAGAGCACCAACACACCGTTCATCTCACTGCTGGGCACTGCTCCCCACACACAGCCCAGCCCCGCGTTGCTGGAAGGACCCTCTGCTCCCCCAGCTGCCCCACACCACGTGCATGCACACACCAGGCTGTTCCCCCAGCTGCCCCACACCACGTGCATGCACACACCAGGCTGTTCCCCCAGTGCTACGTGCAGCCCTGCAAAGCAAAAGCAAAAGCACTGAGGCAGCCCCAACCGTCACCAATGCACCGCAGCTCCCCGGCTGCTCGACACGAGATGGAGCCCGCAGCCATTGGGACACAGAGTCCAGAGCTGCTCCTTCCCTGCCCTCCGTGCCCCAGCACGGGAGAGGACTTGCTGGTTCAGAAGCTGGCGAGGCCAATTAATCTAATGAGGTTTTGCAGCCAGGGACTATTGTCAGCCAGGAAAGGCACAGCGCTGCAGAGCGAGCGCGCGGGGGGCTCTGGGAAGCTGAGGGGATTTGGCACGGTGAAGCATGCAGGCAAAGCACGGTCTTTTTGTTACTCTCCATCCAGCAGCAAGAACGGGCTCACACCGAGCCCAGGAGGCACACCTGATAGCAGAGGGACCTCGTGTAGCTGAGATGGAGGCAGAACCCAAGGGCAGAGCACAGCTCACGGCGCACAGAGCGAGGCCGCGGCTCCTCACTGCGGCACTGCTTCTGGATGGGGGTTCTGCCATGCTGAGCTCCAAGGGCTCCAAGCATCCCCAAAGGACAGCGCAGCCATGCACTGCAGGGCTCTCACGTGGCTCTCCAGGGCAGCAGGAATGGCAGCAGGAATGGCAGCTCTCAGCATGCGCTGCAGGAGCACCACGGCTCCCCACAAGAACACACGAAGGCACCAATGGATAGAAAGGTTTTTTATCGAGTTTGAGGTTTTAAAAATAAGGACCATCGTGGTTTGTTGGCTTTGTTGGTTTGTTTTTTTTTTTTTCCACGTCTACGTTACAAAAAATAAAATAAAAATTGCAATTGGGATCATCATCATCCAAGGGGTTGAAAGTGGCAGCAGGAAAGCCCGGCTTACACCAGACACGCCATCAGCATTTGCTCTGAGAGGGGAACCAACGCCAAGGAGGCAGCACTCTGCTCCTCAGGTGGTGGTTCTCTCTTTTTTTTTAATTCTTTAAGCAGAGTTTCAGCGCTGAAACTCCTTTGGTCTGAAGTGAGTAACCCAATTCCCCCCCCTGGCACCCTGAGAGCATCGGTCCACAACGCCGCTCTGCTCTGCAGTGCGCCCGGCCACACACACAGCATAGTTCTTATAAATATATTTATGTCATATAGGAAAAATAAGGCACTTTGGAAGGGTTACAGCTTGCCTAAGACATTCTAAGCAGGAAGAGAAAGGAGTTAGTTTCTGAAATGGATTTAAATGAATGTTAATACGGTAATAAAACCCAGCGAATCCACTTCCCCACTTCAAGGCTTTGTTTAAAGAAATAAAAAAAGGAGGGGAAAAAGCAGCCCCGAAATGCAGCAGCACGGAGAGCTGAGATGGGGCAGCAGCACCTGCCCTGCGAGAGGCTCCAAGAGCGCAGCACCGTGCATGAGCTCACGGACAGAAATATCCCTTCCCTGAAATGACACCATGCGGCTCCATGGGGACCTCACAGAGCCCCTTCCCTCCATCCGGGCTGGTGCTCCGGGTCTGATAAGGAGAGGAAAAAGCGGTGAAGGTCACCGGCTGCAGACGAGGCTCCAGGCTGAGGCCGGGGAGTGGGGACACAGCCATCCCTGTGCGCCAAGGAGGGGCGCTGGGGGAGCGGCTGCCAGCAGCAGCAGCCAAGCACTGCGGGCAAAGGCAGCAGGAGAAATGTCTGAGCAGGGGAGGAGGGCAGCGGCTGCCCCAGCTCCATGCAGACATCCATGGGGACAGGCAGAGAGGGGAGGCCCACGGCTGCCAGCTCTGCTTCTGGCCGTGCAGAACGTTCGAGGCTCTCTGTTCCACCCAGCCCAGCGCGGTGCTGCCACGACAAGAAGCAAAGATGGCAGGAGGAAAGCACAGGGCCTGGGCCCTGCAGCACTGCACAGCTGCTCTGCTTTGCAAAGGTTGTTTTTGGCACCTCTCCTCCTCCCCTGCTGGGTTCAGAAATACGAGGCTCACTCAGTGGCCCGGCGCTCTGCAATTCTGCAGCACTGCTCACAGATGGGCACCTCACACCCGTTGTTTTGTCATATCTGCAATCCCTCCGCTTGGGATCCTGCAGTTCTGCCTCTCACCCTGGATCTGAAAGCAGCCATGGGTAAAAGCAGGCTTGCACAGCCAGAGCAGCATCCCTCCTGCTGCCAGTAAGGCTCCAGAGCAGGCAAGGCATAGGAGCACTGTGCTCCACCTGCAGCTGCACCGCTCACCCACACAGCATCCCTGTGCCATAGGCGTGGGGTGACCGCATCCCCAGCACCCCGAGGCACAGCCCTGCCCCACACGCTGGGCTGCAAGGAGCGTGGCACTTCTCTGGATTTCACACGACAGAAATTCTCGCTCCCCTTTCCCAACAGGGGGCCAAATCTACTTAAGGCAATTTAAAATTAACCCAGGTTTGGCATTTGTGAGCTCTGCGCTTCCCTGTGTGATAACGCTGTCAGCCTGGCTTAGCTCAGAGGTCTGTTTTCCCCAGGAACCTGTCTCCAAGAGAAGCCAGAGGAGGATGCTTACAGAAGGAGCAGAAAAACAGAGGCAGCGATTCTCCTCCAGCCCCCCTCACCCAGCGTGCAGCACTGATCACTTTGCATTTCCAAGTCCCTCCGCTGCACGACGGCTTGCTGGCACTCGAGGGGTTTCTTTCCCTCTTCCAGAACCTGGAATGAGCGCTGCTCAGATGTTCCCAGCCTGCTGGGATGCCTCGCTATGTCCTCTGCATAGCCAACTCAAAGACAGAAATGTAATGGTGGAGAGCCTGGTGAATCTCTCCTGATTGTGCTCAGGGCTGAGCCGGATCTCAGCCTGACCCACACCCCAGCAAAGCCCCTCCTCCAGGCCCTCATCTGCTCTGGCACACATTAAAAATGCACCAACACACGCGAGAAATCAGTAAGAACTCGATGGCACAAACTGAAATCATCAATCAAACCCCTAAGAAAGGTTTTCAGCAACCCAGCAGCCTCCGGCTGGGCCTGGCATCCCAGCTATCAGCAACACCATGAAACAAGGTAAGCTGGAGAGGGAACAACAGGCACAGAATACTTTACAATCAGAAAGGCAAAGAGGTTGGAGATTTGGTCTTAATGGTCCCAGCCCACAGCAGCCTGAGCCACAAGGCTTTGGAATCGCTTTCTGAGACAGTTGTGCTCAAATTAAAATACAAAAAGCACATCTGTAGCACTGGGATATTTGCTTCTAGATTTCCAAGATATGCATATATTCTATGTAATATAAAACAGCAGTAACACCTAGGTCAGCTAGTTCAAGTTCTCCATTTTCTCCCCCTGCCTGTAGTGAGCAGCCTAGGAATCCGCAGGGTTAGCTGGGAGAAGAAATGTTCTTAAAAATTAACTAATCAACTATGGTAACAAAACATGGGGAACAACATGGGTTAGGTCTGATGGAACCAATGGGCAACTCAGCTCACACACACGAGGTGGTTTTAGGCACACGACCCCCCCTAATCCTGAAGTGAAAGGGAGGAGGAAGCAAAAGTAACACCAGCAACTCCTGCAGCAATGCTCTCTGCAAAAATGTGGTCACTGCAGTAGAGAAGCAGCTATTCCAACTGGTCAAATGGGGCCTGGTGCTCAGAGCAGCCCTCCCCACTGCTTCCCTGCTGTAGGCACTTCTGGCTTTTGCTTTGTTTTTTAAGCAAGCTCCCAGCACGAAGTGGAGCCATCAGCTCTGCTCTCCCTGCAGCAGGAAGCCAAGCAGCCATCCTGCTGCAGCTCTGCATCCCTTTGTGCAAGGCTCCCTTGTGGCAAAGCAGCCCTGGAGGTTTTTGAGGAAGGTAAAGGCAGCTTTAAAAAAGAACACAGCCCTCCTCACATTGCACCTGATGCACTCTGCAGCCCTACAGCCAGGAGTGCCCCCCACAACGGGGGTAAGTCTGGAAATACTGAGGAGGGTCAGAGGGGAAAGGATCGTGCACTATTGCCGAAAACTGATTATGTGACAGTGGGATGCAGCAGAGAACAGACATTTAAAGCCCATTTTCTTGCAGCACTTCCAGTATTCACTGGAAAGGAAGAGCCACTAGATCAACTGCCTGCTGATGCAATGAGGAAACTAGCTGAAAATGTCCTTCATCTGAAAGGCCGCGTGGCCACAACAGGATCATCCATCTTTGCTTTAAAAATCCCTCAGGACGGAGGGGTTTTGTGTGCTCTGTCTGGTGGCATCGAGAATCTGGAGGTTTAGTTCTCTTAAATAAGCAACCGTTCCACTCCCTCCAGCCAAATCCCAACGCCTCCATCCCCACTGCCTGCGAGGAGACCTATTGGAAAGGCAGAGCACAAAGTCCTGCCAAAGCCCGGGGGGGAGGGAGAGGGGAGATATGCTGGTGGTTGTCTGAAAACCCTTGGCACATCTTTGGTTACAGGATGAAAAGGAAACGGTGGAAGGTTTGGCCACCTGGTTCTTTAAGAAGCCGTTAACCCAGGAGGGAAGGGAACCGAGGGGATGGGGCCGTGGTTAATCCGACCACTCGTCCTCATCGAACTCTGAAGAGTCATCCTCAGAGTCGCTGTACTCCACGGCGATGCGGCGCGACAGGATGGTTGCCACGTCATTGCCCACAACGTCCCTCTTCTCCTGCTCCCTCTGCTCTTCCACCTTGCGGAGCTGGAAGCCTGTTGGGAAGAAGGCAACAGAGGGGATCGTTCAAAGGCTTTGGTCACACTGAAATCCCCAAAGCAGCCATCCCTTTGATGAAATCCTCTGAGCAAGACAGCCCGTACTCTGCCAGCAAGTATTGGACACGCTATGGAATAACAGTGATGGTGAATGACAGCCAAGACAGGCTGGGTGGGCAGGTGGAATGGGAATTGAATCGTTTCTGTGCTCCTCTGAAGGGTTACACCACTGTCATTCAACCCACTTTGCAAACTTGGACCACGGCAGATCTGGTACTGCCGTCTCCACGGAGCAGGCAGAGGCACGCAACCATCGAGGCCATCATCTGGCTGGGCAGACAAGGAGAGCCCACAGCAAAAAACCTCCAACAGTGGGGCAGCCACAGCCCCGCTCGTGAGGCAGCTCCCACACGTTCTCACCCAGCACACCGTGGGTATTCCAGAGGCTATGGAGAAAGCTGGAGCTGAAACACAATCTTACCTTGACGAATCGCTGAAAGCAAATCGCTCCTGGCATCGCTAACCGCGGGCAAGGATGACTTGGGCTTGGAGGTGGAGGTGTCTGAGGGTGGAGGCGGTGCTGGGGGCCCATCGAGGCCACTGGAAGACAGAGGTGGGGGGCCAGGAGGTGGTGGAGGGGGAGGAGGAGGTGGTGCGCTCCCAACGCCCGGCTGGGGCAGAGGAGGGGGCTGCACACTGCTGTATTCGGCCGCTGGAGGGGGCGGCGGTGGTGGCGGGGCAGCAAACTCGGGGTGAGGGGGGAAAGAAGGGGGAGAGGGTGGTGGTGGGGTCCCTGGGGATGGGAAGCCCACGGGGGGTGGTGGAGGAGGGGTGCTGCCCATCATTGGTGGTGGTGGAGGCGGTGCTGGAGGGGGAGCAAAGCCCGGCCTGGCCCCGGCGGGGGATCCGATCGGAGGAGCTGGTGGTGGGTGGCTCGGGCTAACCAGGCTGGATCTTTTGGTCCCTCCAGAACCAGAACCTCTTTGGTTGTCTACAGGATAGCTGTTGCAAAAGAAGGAGAGACAAATAAGGCTGTTAGCTTTGAGGTCAGACCGTACAGGCTCCATGTTAATGAGAATCATGTGTGTTTGTTGCAGTCCAGACAAAAATCTAACTTCCAGCTTCAGCTGGTGTTTCCATGAGACCTCGCTCCTCGGGTTTTAGTTTTCTTGCAGGGTTTCTTTTGGCCACCACCACCAGAACAAAGGAGAGCTTCTGGGGACTGGCAGCAATGCTATCATCTGTCCCATCTCCCAGGCTGACAAGAACACGAGCCATCTCACCTCCCTGCCAAAGGCCAGGCGTCACATCTGAGCTCAGAGAAGCCTCTTGGCTTAAGAGGTCCTGCAGCACTGCTAGCTGCTATCCCTCCAAGCTGAGGTCAGACTTCTGACACGCCAAGCAGGGACATCTACTGTGATAAATGGCACTGGGGCTGGTGGGTACGCCAGGAGAACATATGCTCTCAACACCTGCTAGGAACAGATCTCTTCACTGGATTCCGTGGCTCAGAGCTGGAGTGCAGCAACCACGTCTCACAGCTCACCGTGGGGAATTAAGGGATGAGCACCCAGTGTGCTCTTAGGGAGAACACCGAGTTCCCATTTATGGGAGCCGTGCTATAGCAGAGAACAACACTACCCAGAAGAGACTGTAGCATCCTACTTGCGCGTAAAGGAAGCCCTAAGCTGACGACATCTTGCACTGTAAGGCAGAAGAGGTTTGGTATGTTTGCCACAAAAATGTCACAGTTTTTGGCAGTGCACAAACGCTGATCCATGACAGACCACTGGAGATCAAACCTCACTCCCAGGATTCTTTAAAAACAAACCACCAAAACAACACCAGAGAGGAGGAGATCTCTGTGGCTGGGCAGAGATCTAAGGAACTGCATAAGGCAGCTTAAGCTTCATCTGAAAGCTCATTTCTGCTCTGCCCTAGAGGAACATGCTGCAGAGTGGAGTGCTTGGTCTCTCTGACACATCAGAAGAGCCTTTTCTGCAGCACTGCTGCCTCTGGATAAGATGGAGACAAGCTAACGCAGTCCTGTCTATCAGACATACTGTTACTGCCTTTAAGAAAAAAACAAAAAGCTGCTCTCTCGTTTCAATCTGTGTCTCAAGCCACTGCCGGACCATAGCTCTCATCTCTGGAGGTGACTGGAAGTCACCATTTCATCTGATACAAAGCAGCTACACTGAACTTCTGCTGTGAAGGAGCCAGCTGGTGTGTTCCAGTCCTTCAAATTTTATTACATCTACATCTTCAGCGCCCACATCATGCATTTGTCAGAAATCACAGGGCAAATGGCAATAGCAAAGAAAATCAAGAGTGGAAGAAAGTGCTCTCTGCAAAGCTCTATCAGGAATGTAAACCTAAATATATATTGGAAGAACTGTACTGGAAAAGAGGGACTGATCCAACACGTGCCATGGAGCCAGACCGTTAAACGTGACCCCGCTCTTTTAGAAAGCAGAACAACTCTGCTTGAGTCCTCCTCCAAATCCATTCTCCCCTCCTGCACACGAACAACAACAGTGGCTGAGAAGCACAGAGAGTGCTGTGCTGACTGCAGCTCTGCCCTGCTCTGTTGCTGCACCTCCCTCCAGACAGGAGGACGCTGCTTCCCATACAGCGCCCGTCAGGAAGTTCTGCTGTGCCATCTCACGTCTCCTGTCATCTTTTTACACCACCTACTACTCCCTGGTGACAGAAGGGATCCCGTAGGCTTACCTAAATTCCACTGGGGGTGGAGGCAGGCTGTCATCTGGGAACGAAGGAGGTGGAGGCACAATAGAGTCAGTCTGCGGCGGTGGCGGGTAGCAGTTCACGTCCATGCTTTCATTTGAGCCAATGCTGCCGTTCTGATACACCATGTTAGAGGGGTACCTGAGAGAGGAAGGCAAGCACTGTGTTTAAAGAGTTCAAAGTAACGTCTCAAACTCATTTTCCCCCTCGCTCACAAGAGCACTGCCTCTCAGAAGGGTTACAGCATTACAGCTGTGCGGCAGTTGCACCAGTAATATTAACCAAGTAGATGGATCAACCTGCAAGGCTCAGAAATTAGGTTTCCTAGCAGGAAGGCTTTTCCCAGCACAGCTGGACCTGCCTTGAGGTGGGACCTTATCAACCACCACAACAGGACACATGAAGCAAAACCTTAAAGCAACAGTTAAAAACAAGAAGTCTCTATTTCTCAAAGCATCCTGTATGAAGAATCACGTACGGTTTACTCTGTGTAATCCTTTTGCTGGATCCTCTCCTGCTTGGTCACTGCTACCAGGTATCAGAACATGATTATGTATTTTAGGCAACAATAAGAAAACCAAAAATATTTTTGAAGTATTCGATGATAGAAAAAATAAAAAGAGTGCATTTTGACCAAATTGGCCTTGAAAGACTCCGAGTTACACTGGGTATCATCAGTGACAAAAAAAAGAGCTATTAAAAAGATATGACATGCCATTAAAAGCAAGCATCCCAAGCTGAAGCACTGCTAAGCAAGGGACTGCAGCTGTTCAGGTTTCAGTGGGCTCATCTCACCATGGGGTAAGGTGCTGCAACTGCTCCTCAGGAGCATTCAAATGCATACACACATTGATGCCAGAAAACAGAGGAGCAAGGAAACGGTGCTGTTGTGCTGCTCGATTCCTCTGCTAGAAACCAAACCTGTCCTCCTATTAAACTAAGAGCAAGTTTTATTTTTAGCTGGAGAGTGTGATTTAAAGAGAGATTTTTCTTGTATGAAAGGAAGCTGCGAGGAGCAAGCAAGAGAGAGGTGCATTGTGGGGAATTCAGTCTGCTTCCAGCCTAGCTGGTGTCAAAAGTTAAATGAATTCCCAAGCCAAAAGCACTAAAGAGAGATCTGTAGCTTGGAACACTTGGATGGGAACTGCCCCCGCTCCAACTTCAGGGCGTGAAGAGCCGTTTGTGAGATGTAACAAAGCCATCACACAACACCACCGAGATGCCACCCTGCTCATCAGCACCAGCCCCAGAGCTCGGGGTGATGGGAAGGGCACTGCCACGGGGTATGGAGCCAAAGCTTTTTGTGTTCCGTGCCCACGAGGCAGGCAGATGGGAGCAGCCGTGCTGCTGAGGCTGTTCCTGCCACCTCGTTCAAGCCGTGTAGCTCCCTGATTTATTTAGCAAATTCTAAATCCGCAGATGGATTTACTTTGGAGAATCTGATTAGTGGCAGTATCGATCCGCACTGTGCAGCAGATCTGGAGAAGCTGCAGAGCAGGGTGAACTGCATTACAATCAACACTGCCTGCCTGCTACCCCTTGCTGGGGAGCAGAGCAGAGCCCTGGACTTGCTTACCCAGCAGGACCGTGTTTGTCCTTTATCTCAACAAATTCTTGTCCCATTTTCAGTTTCTCCCACTCTTCTTTCCGGGTTTTGATTTTCCGTGGGTTCACATTTCCTCGGTTCGGATTCTCCTTTTTCTCTTTCTACAGGAGGAAAGGAAAGGGAGGAGGAATCAAACAAAAGCCTTATTTTGCTTTAAACTCACTGGGAACAGGAAGGGATAGGACAGACCTGCAGCAGTTTCAAGAAAACACATTCTCTGAGAGGGCCAAGATTTCCCATTCATTTTCCTGATTGCTGAAAGCTCCAACGTCCTCCCAGACAAAGAAGATGGAGCAGAGAGAGCAGCAAAAGACACCACCCAGCTTCCTCAGCATGACGTCAGGGCTACAGCCTGGCACGACCACCTCGGGGGCAGAGAGAGCTCCACTTCCCCTCATCAATTCTGCTGTTGGCCTGTGTGTCAAGGCTGCCAAATTCCACCACCGCCTTGCTGGTGTTAACGCTTTGGGTGTGCAGCGTGGACGCCTGCCCACAAAGAACTGTGCTTTTGTGAGCCTTATTTTCTGTGTTCTGACACGTCCTAGCTCCTTCCTTTGTTACTCTGACATGGAAAGAGCAGCATCTGTTTTGATATTTGGGACTTTGGTTGCTGAAAAGCTAAACGAAGTATGCTCAAACCGAAGCTTTTATGGCGTCACTTTCAGCATTGGTTCAAATCTCCCAGTAACCAAAACCAGGAGCTTCACCTGGTGCTTCCAGCTTACATGACTTTGCTAAGCCTCCTGATGGCTGCTCATTTAACATCGTGGCCTCTTCTGGCACTCCTGAAAGTTTTCTTTTTTTTTTTTTTTTTGACTCTTCCACAATAGAATTTATTGCAGCACTTGGCAAAGCGTGGTGCTGGGGCAGTGGGATTTGCACTGCTTCAACACTGAGCAGACCCCCATGCAACACCACAAGCACAGAAAAGACTGACACAGCCCTGCTCTGCTGACTGCATCAGTGCTGTTTGAAGACAACAAATTAAACTCTTCTAACAACACAAAGAAGATGGCATTTGGAAAAACAGATTAAGGATATCCTTGTTGTCTTCTTTTTAATTAACAGCGATGAAAGTAAAGCAGATCAAAACTTCTCTGAATTGATCCCCAAAGAGCTTAAGAGAATAAACCTCACTTTTGGATAGCAACTTTGGAGCCCACCGTTCATTAACGCTTTCCACCTCCTTTCCCACCCCGACATGCTGCTGAAATGGCAGAGATCTCCCATTTCCTCACCCTGTGCTTCCGCTTCTCTTTCATAATATCCTTGGTGTCCTGAAGCATTTTCTCTTTCCAAAGGTCAAAGAAATAGGAAGGATCTGTGTAGAATTTAAGTGCCTCCTTGCCATCATCCCTAGAACAGGGAGGAGAAAACACACACATAAAGAGGCCAAGTCATGCAATTGTTTGCAGCCCAAAGAAAATAAAAGCCACCAGCTCAGACAACAGATTAAAAGTCTGCAATGAGAAGGTCAACCGCTCTGCTCTCGCCTCTGTCCTCCGTTTAAAAATAGGCAGCAGACCCACAGCAGCCACCACTTGTCCCAGCACTCCCACTTGCCATCTCTTTCACCCTCACACAAACTCTGGATTTCAGCTCCTGAAGAACTCGGCTGCTCTGAGCAATCACCAGGAGAGCAGCAGGTCTCTCACTCCAACTCCCACTTGTTTGTGTTGTATTTTTGGTGTGAAAAAATCTTCTCCAGCCCGGGAACCCTAAATCAGACCGGCAGCGTCCTTGAAACTCATGTGTGTGTGCACACTCACTCTCCTACTTTGCAGTGCAGCCGCGTCTGGCAGAAGACAGCTGCCTCCAGCTATCTGTAATTACTTTTTACCTGTTCAAAAGATATTTATGGATGTGGGCTAAGTCTCTGTATTCTGACCCCCTTACTTCTTCTATGGACAAGATGAAATGGCACAGCAGGACCGCTCGGGAGAAAGGTTCACAAAGCCCACCTAGGTCACATCAGATGTCTCAGGCCAGGCATGGGAGGCCATGGGAAGCATTTCCAGACCTACAGGAGCCTGCTGCACCCACCTGAGTGAGAGCCACACACAGATGGATGCTCTGCAGTTTGCACTGCGGCTTTCTGGAAAGAAGCCACAGGGCTACAGTGAAGCACAAGAAAAATGCATCATCTGCACAACACCTAGCATGTTTATGCAGTGCAAGCCAAGCCTTGCCCCAAGGCAGTCACAAAAGTGACAGCAGGTAACCAAACGTATAATTTTCTAGCTATGCTCATTTGTACAGCCTCAAAAGCAAAGTTTCATGTAATCCAAAGGATGGAGATTTCCCGCTGGATCTCCAAATCTATTTCCAATTAAAGATGGCTACTTCAATACATCAGGGGATGGGAAATGACCGCAGCTGGCTGGGAGGAAGAAGCTTCCTCTGTCAGGGAACAAATGCCTACGGAGGTGTTGTGGTGTTACCTATAAGGGGAAAGAATGTTGAGAGGTGGAGGAGTATTGCAGGTCCCATAGGTTTCAAGGACAGGCACTGGCAGAGAATCTCTGTCGAAGAGCTTCTGGTCCTGAGTAGTGGAGCTTTTGAAGGCCTTCCTGGTGTTAATGCCCTGCAGGGAGACTGTAAAAAAGAGAAAAGAGCAAGTGAAGAGCAGCTTGACCCAGGCCAACGGCACTGAGGATCAAGCAGCAAACATCTGATTTCAGCTGGAGTTCTTGGCGTGCTTAGCACTCCTTAAGCTCAGGTTCCTTTTCCCACAGATCTCTTGGGAAGCCCAGCACATCTCAGACCATGCTGTGACAAGATCTGCTGCTGTACAGACATGGCATGAGAGCCGCCAGTGTGGTTTCAAACCCCTGCAACCAAGACTTGGGAAGTCTATGGCTACCCAACTGCTGAAGAACAAGCTTCCACGCAGAGACCTGCTAAAAGCAAGTCTCTCCTCAGCCAGATGGATGCCTACATGGCAGCACTGGGCTTTTGGGGAGGGGTGAAACAGTCCCTCTTAGTCCAAGAGAAGACATTCTAACACCAATCACAGCACCATGCTCATCGTAGGGCCACGAATCAGCCACACTCAAAGAGAACCTTCACTACGCTTTGTCTGCAGGGACTGTGCTGCACTCCATTACCTTCCTCCTCTTTGGGATCCAGCTGAGTGACTTTGACTTGCAAGCGGTCAACTCTCTCGACAAGAACGCTCACCCGGGAGGCAAAAGTGTTGGCTTGAGTAAACAACTCTCCAAATATGTCTTCTGCAAATTTACCTGCAATATTAAAGCGACCACGTTATCCTCACGAGCCACATCAAACCACATGCGAACATGCGATCTCCCACTTTGTCTTCTTGAAGAAAGAAAGAAGAATGAACCATGCTTCTTTTCAAGTCTGCCAGGGTTGGGTGCAACATCCAGGAGGACAACGCTCCCTTCCACCAAAACCTGACATTTCTGAGGGATCTTTAGGCCACGAAGAAACAACTGAGACATACTTTCAAGTCAGTATTAAAGTAATGAAAAAGAGGACTGACAACGTAACAGTGGTCTGAATCCAGATGGGTCTGTAGGTCCTTTAAGATTCACTGCTGTTCTGTTTATTAGACAAGACAACACAGACTTTTATTGCTCTGGAGAAGCTCAAAGGCTCCTGGTCTCCAGCAGGCCTGCCTCCAGGGTAACTGGCACATATTTACAAGCTCAAAGAGCTCTGGAACCAGAGAGCAGACCCAGTCCTTGATCCTAAAGCCTGAGCTATAACCACAGACAAAAGCACTGACCCTTTTGTTCCTTCAGGTGGCAGTGTCTGAAAAATTGATGCATTCACGTTTATTCTAAATCAAAACCAAAAGGGAACTTCTCCAACAGGAATATTCTCTCTGTAACAGCTTGGGTTGCCCAGTGGGCTGTGATGACAAACATCATCCATCGTTTGGATGGTGAGAGCGCCTTGGGGCTTGGATCAGAAGCTTGCTGCACCACTTACAAGCCTAACAAAAAGATGTCCCCTGTCCTTAAGACTTTAAAATCTACATATACAAGGAGAGATGACCACAGGTGGACAGAGATGGGTGAACTGAAAGAAAAAGCAGCTAAAAGGAGCATCGTCCTTAAAGCTCCGCTCTCCAGCATAACCTGAAAGTGGGAACCCCAAATAACCACGCAGAGGACAGCAGTGATGGGAACAGACTTGGCACTGACAGCAGCCAGGCCCACCGAGTTTCCACTGATGGGAAACATTTCCAGCCACGGCTGCTGAGCACGAGGCTGCTCCCAATCAGCTGTGTGGTTCTGTAAGCGCACCATCGTATGGTCAGCAGTTTGTTCTGGAATCTGTTACTCCCAGAGATCCTCTCCGACATTCAGGAAAGGATAAGCAGTGAGAAGCCAAACTTTACCAGCAATGTTGGAAAATGAGGCTGTCTGCAACGAGTCACACAGGAAAGATCCCTTCCTACGAAGCACAGCAATGGCAGCCACCAAAGCCTGTGCAAACCCTTCCAGCAGGGCTGAGCTGACACCCATACCAGAGGTTGCTCATTCCTCCCCCTGTTATCAGTGACTTGTTCACAATGCCATGCAGTTCTCCTTACACCGCCAAGCACGGAGAACGAGGCAGGTTAAAAATCAACCTCCTCCACCCTTTCTGGTGGCAGTGCCAGTTTCAAGTGCCTGCAGAAGGTAAATGCTGGATGTGAACTTCAGCTGACCTCCTCCCTCGGCTCTCCTGGACAGCACTGATTCCACATATGCTCTGCTAACAAGCCCAGCTCTCCCCAGTCTCCTGGGCAGGACTGTAGCCCTGGAGACCCAAGGGCTGGATAGCTCTCACTGCAGCCAGGTTCCACGAGGCACCCTGTGCTCACCATCAGCACCAGCTCTGCTGTTTGACCAAAGGAAGTGAACACTTATCTCCGTGATAATTCGTTGCCCCTCCCAGCAATAACTCATGAACTTGTAATTTGGATCTGTGTTAACGAGAATTGAGAATCATTTCCAAATTTCACAAGGAACTGCAACAAGTAGAAGGGAAGATACCAAGTCTTTGGCTCGTGGTGCTGAGTTTCAAGGATAAAATAACACAAAGAGCATCACACGTGGTGTCCTTAACCCTGTAAGGAACAGGGATGGTCTGTGTTCCCTCACCTGTGTGAGTGCAGCAGTCCTGAGTTAACATTCAGGATCTTGCACACGCTTTGGTGCTCCACGTGCAGTTTCAGATGGGGTAAGGCAGAGATTACTTTTTGGTTTAGTTACGTTGACTGTTGCAACAGTGCAACTCACAATCAGAATTACCTTTGTCATGCACTGGCAGGAAGACAGACAGTGTGATTCAATGGGTCTCTCCATCTTTAGCTCGTGGATTTTATAACACTGCACAGCCAGCTTACACAGAGAGCTACCAGCTGTGATAGTAACGAAGGGTAAACTCACTGGAATATGAAAGTTTGACAAGATTTATGTTTGCATCTTTGTAAAGAGACTGCGGTGCAGTAGGCATGGCTGATTATTCACTTGACAGAGCTGTCACAGCCTACTGAACCTGCTTCACATTCCTGCAACGCTCAGCGTACGAAGTAGGAGTGGATTTCTTCCTCCAAAGTAAGAGAGGGGGCAGGAGTTTGGTCACCTGGGTGTGAGAGCTCTGCAGCAGTGAGTCTAAATAGCTTCATTTAAAACACTGCTGACCACAGGGATGCGGATAAGGGATGGTGCTCATCATCCCCCCCTTCATGCCCTGCTCCCCCTTGTGCAGAGAGGCACGCAGTGTCAGCTGGAGCCATCTCTCCTCCAGGAACCCGGCTGCACACACCTCCCTCCCTGCACCATGCAGACATCCCAGGGCACCTTCCCAGGAAAAGAACCCAGCTGCAATTTGGCTCCCAGTGCTTTGCTGTCTCCGCTGAGGCAGACACAGAAAAGCTTTGAATATCTGAGCTGTGCAAAGACGGCCTAAATCTGCAGGATCTCACCGGGGCTCTGTCACACTAACCCGCCGCATGCCTTTGGACTGGGATTAGCTTTCTCTGCAGCTGAGATCTGCACAGCTTTACTGCCTCCTTCCTCCTCATTTCACATGCACGAGATGGATTTTCCTCGCACTCCACAACCATCTTGGCTACCAGACCCACCAAATTACCAACAAGGTGAGCGCATGGACAGGTCCTGTCAGTGCAGTGCCATTTCCACAGCCCAAAACAGAACTTGGCACCGACTGGCAGCCATCACAGGCCCCGATTTCAGTGGCAGCCACGGTTTTCACTGCTGGAAAGAGACTGTAGCCGAGGTTCTCCTGCCACATTAGGCAAGGAGCTTACTTTGCAGAGCAAGCAGAAGCGCTCGCAGACACCACCGATAAGCTCAACAATATATTATTTTGATTCTCAAAGACTTGCTTCAAGGGTAAAGGTGGCTAATCAGAAGCCAGAACATTTCAAGAGAGTATGGAGCCATCCCACAGAGACCACAATTAACTCTTCTCTCCTCCCATGGCATGCAGGCCCACGTTTTTCCCGCGGCCTTTCCAAGGCTATGGGGCAGCCCACCGGAGAGCTGAGCTCGGTGCTGCCGTCTGAGCGAGCAGCCCTGAGCCCCCAGTGCTCCAAAGGCAATGCTTGGGGACTTTGGGTCTTCCAAGGTAGCAAACAGCAGGGGCAAACAGGCTGCTTCTGCACGGGCACTTTAATTATCTTTCATTAAAAAGAAGACTACTTACACGCCATAGCTTCGGCACAGTCAAGCTCCATTTAGTAGCGCACGCAATTAGAGGCACATTCTCTGACACAAGATCCTGGCTGCTCTGAGAGCCTCCCATTTTACAAGCCTGAGTTGTGCTCCATCCTTCCATCTGCAGCTTCGCCGCAGCCTTGCACACACGCACGCACACACATGCGCACACCCCCTCCCCAGTTTCTTCTAGATGGGGAAGGCAGTGGGACCAGGGATATGAAATTAGCATCGGATTTCTTTAGGAAAACATTTTAGCATTACCCGGGGAAGGCAGATGGGGGAGAAATAGGAACACAAGAGTAGAAAGGGAGCTAAATAAAGAGCACTAGCGACTCCTGAGGGCAACGCGCAGGCTCGCCATGGTACTCACTCAGGCTGCCCAGCTGTCGAATGACATTTGCCAGGGTGATGTTGGTCATGCATTCCAGCTCGCTTCGAACGCTAGGCAACGTCTGACGGCACAGGTGCCTTGGCTCAATGTTCCTCGTTACTAACGGCATGGTGGACCTGCTTCAGGCACTGTTCTGAAAGATGAAAAACAACCCAAAAAAGAAACAGGAAAGGATTACTCAACCGCAAATTCCAGGCACACCAGAACCATGGTGTTCGTTTTTCCTGCTCTCAAATGGCTTTATTTATAAGCCTCCTTTCCCCCCCCCCCTCTTTCCCCGACCTTATAATACTGGCTCTTCAGAAATAAAGATCCCGCTGTTCTGTGACTTGCAGTGACAGCAAAGTCCCACCGGCTCAGGTATGGAGCAGAGATGGAAAACTACACAGCTTCGCCCACACGCGAGGTGCTGCCGGCATCGCCGCCGCCGCTCCCTTCCTACCCATCCGCAGCCTCCTTCCTTCCCCGCTCACACACAGCATCTCAGAGAGCCTGAAAACCCTTCTTCTGGAATTTGTTAAACCGGAGAGCGATGGCTTGGCTTCAACCAGAGGATGAGGGCAGGAGATGGGGGGGAACAAAGCGCGGCTCCTCCCGCAGCGGCACAACACGGCTCTGCTGAACAACAGGAAGCGCTCGCAGCTGACCAGGAAACTTTCTGCTGACTGTTCCTCATCCTGCAGGCTGCACCCAACGGCCCTCAGGAAATCCCCCAGGGCTGAGGTTTACACTGGGCCATTGTTTTTTGTGCTGGGGGTGTTTAATGGTAAGGGAGCCCTAAGCAGGACAAGGAGCTTTCAGGCGCAGGTCAGCCCTTCCAAGAGGCAAAACTCTCCTTTGCCAACAGGCTGAAGTGTCCAAGCAACAAACATCCCTCTTGCAACGCCTGCCCCTGAGATGGAGGGATGCCTGGCTAAGCAGAGCTCGGAGCAAGCAGTGCCACAGGCCTGAAATCTTCAAAACTCAGTGAAAGCAAATACAGCCCAACTTCGTGATTAATTTAGAAGGGGAAAGAATCACTTTTCTAGGTCAGCTGAGGAGCAGCCCAAGAGAAGCAGCCAGCTCCCATGTGATAGGCATGCTGATCTGCTTGGGCTGGGTGTAAAAATAAAACAGGAAGCTAACAGCTTGGGGAACATGGCTTCCTGTCACCAACAGCAAAAAACCAAGAACCATAAAAAATCAGCTGTTTGCTCTTGACTTTGAGCCACCCTTTGATAGTCTCTGTGGCAGCTGGCAGCTTATCTTTGAGGTCCAGGAGTCCTTCCTGGATGCTTTTCTATCAGGGTGTTAAGAGGAAGAAGTGGGCATTATCCCTCCTAATTACCTCACAAGCCAGATTTTGAATTGCTAAATGTGACCCATTAAGGCAGAGGAGTTGGAGTGCTGCAGCACAGGGCTATCTCCTGGACAAGCAGATGGAGGATGCCATTTTGAGCTAGGGACTGCATGCACACAGCCCTGCACCAGGGCCAGGGCCCCAAAACCATAAACCTCGGAGCAGAAGGGAGCAGGGTTTGCCTCCAGGTAAATAAAAGCTGTGCTTCTCCAAAGACTGAGGTCTGTGCTGCTCTTCGCCGTGTCCAAGCGCTGCAGCAGCCACTGTAACTGCTGAGATATTTAAAGAACAGGGTGAACCAAGGAAGGACTCTGACCTTCGCTTCCAAACACCCCGTGTTTTATTGATTACAGCCCAAGCCCTGCAATCTTTTGCCAGCTTTAGCGCTTTAAGCCAGACAAACTTTCCCAGCTCCCCCCAGACTGCAGTCTGCAGCTCTCATAAACAAGGCAGCATTTGCAGGCTGCCTGCATCGAGCTTCTCCCTCGTGCTCCCCAGGGCTCGGTGGGATCTGCAGAGCTGGGACAGACACTGAGCCTGGGCTGTAAGGGGGAGAGATGCAAGCGTGCATATGGAATAAAGGGAAATAAAATAAACCACCACCAAAAAAATAAAAACAACCACAAAAGGTGATAGGTGTGCTGGGTCAGAGAGAAGCGCTTGTCTCTGCAAGTATATAGAGAAGAGGGCAGAAAAATGGAGTAACACCCCCAAATACCCATGCAGAAACACCAGCCTGAAGTATGCCTCTACCTGTACCTTGTCTATAGTTTCCCTACCCCCAAAGTGCTTGGCTTCAAAGCCTGTTCTGCAACTAAAGGCAAAGAGTAGCGGTGCAAATCGCCTCTTTACAACAGCACTGCACAACTACAGCACGAATCTGCACCAGTGCAAGACAGCCAGCAGCGATAAGGGCTAAGAAAAACACTCCCTTTATAGCCTAGCTCATCCTGGCAGCCACCCCCACCCTCCCAGCACAGCCTGCCACACTCCACTGCAGAATCAAGAGTTTCGCCCTTGTGATGGCTCCGACAGCACAGCAGTGCTGCTTCTTCCCAAGGCAACGGGGCCGGCCCTGCTGCCCCCAGCCCCAGCCAGGAGCTGGCAAGCAGCAGTGAGACGTGAAGGCATTAACCCTGCAGAGCACTGGAGATGAGCGAGGCAGGAAGGATGGGATGGCAGCAGGCAGACAGCCCTGTGCTCCTGCAGCAGCGCCGGGATGAGGCACTGAAAGCAACTCCCCATCTCAGCTTTGAGATTTCAGGTGTTTTCACAGCACGGAGAGAGGAAATCAGGGACCTCCAGAGCCCAGCAATAAGAGCAGTGCCCCCACAAGAAGGAGCTTCCCTGGTGGACCTCCTTTTTCCCCCCATCAGCCTTTGGTGGGAAGGTATAGAGATAACAGCTAATGGGCTCCTGTAAAACCTTCATGCCTCATGAGTAGGTGGGACAAAGATTAATAGTCTGGATTGGAAAATAAGTGGTGTGTTTTGAAAGCAGCAGCCGGGAGGGGCAGGAAATAAAGCGTGGAGAAGGGAGAACATCTGAGAGCAGAGGGAGAAGGAGGAAGCAAAATGCTGGAGGCAGCACGAGGTGTGCAGCTGGGGGCAGGGGAGGGACACAGCACACGAAACAAGGAAGGGACAGACAGAAAAAAAAGCTTTCCAGGAGGTTCTTGCTTTTATTCTTTAAGAGAATCATTAAGAAACTGATTGACAGCACACTACCAGCAAGGGCCATCCAGAGCTGCTTTCCTTTCCATAGTCAGGGCATGACAGCACAGCAGTTTTCCACCCCAGCTAGCCAGAGTGGTCATCAGGCATTAGTCCCTGTCACGTAACCACTGCAGACCATATATTATAACTAAATCCTGCCATTCAGAAGCAAGTTAAATGAATTGCGAGGCCAAAAATAAAATAAAAACAAACAAACAAAAAGAAAAACCCTTATCTTTTGGGCAAAGAGAAGCATTTCCACGTGCTCATTAATGCTGAAGATCTGATTTGTTGTAACGCCTGTTCGGGGTGCAGGGGGCACAGAGCACCTCCCCAGCCTTGCTGCAAGCAGGGAGGACACAGAGTATGGTAAAAGCAAAGTGCCTCTATGAAACTTGGCTGCCTGCAACAGATTTGTAATGAATATGGAGAAAAAAAAGCAGGGCATCAAACTGAAAGCAGCTCGAGCTGTGAGTGAGAAAGCGGAGCGTTCTTTGCTGGTTGGAGAGTGGAAGGGAATCGCTGCTCCTGTGCCAAACCCACCAACGTCAGGGCATCCAGAGATGCTCAGAACGCCCGTCCTGCTACCTGCTGTGCTGCACACCTTCTCAGGAACAAGAAGGAAGGGTTTGTCTCAAGTGAACCAATGTTTTTCTCTCCCTCTCTTGTAGCAAAACATCCCTACCTGCTCCAGGCAAGCATTTCTTCTCCAGTCTCTGAGCCATGGCCTGAATCACAGAAGGCTCCAAGCCTTGTTATGACAGCAGTGACTAAAAACCAAGGCTCCAAAAGCCCTGTTTTCCCCTTGGCCTCCCCCCACGTCCAGCAGGGCACTGCCAGCATTCCTCATCCTTTCCCCTCTCTCCCAAAGCGCTTACACACACATTGCTGAGCGCCGGGCTGCTCACAGCCCTAAGCCAGCCTGGAAAGTTTGCTGAGCACGACAAAAGCTGGGCAAGGCAAGATCCCCACTCCTACATTCCTAGCAATCCTCCAGCCACAACTGGCACCTCACCATCCTTCCCTCAGCACCTGTGCCGCATGCATGAAGCCTCGGACTCTTTGCATTGCTGCAGGAAAGCAGCATTTGTGCACAGTGCTGCCTACCCGAGTCCCTGTACCCAGCACAGCAAGCAGGAACGCCTTGCTCACCACATTTTAACACCTCACACACCAAATTTTAAGTGCATTCTGACTGTGGCAGTCCTTCCTGCAAACGCTCTCGGGGTGCTGGGGAACAAGTGTGGCAAAGCACGGGCCGGGAAAGGGAAAAACAAGACCACAGCGTGCAGTTTTTGCTTCTCCTAATCCAGCACTTTGAGGGAAGCACAAGGTACATTTAAGACAAGCACGCTGCTGTAGGGTTTCTCATTGACTGCTCTCCCCAGGAGCTCTGCTGTAGCGGATCACACAGGAATCCTGGTTCTGGATTAGAATCAAGCACAATTGGTTTGCTTCACACACGAGCCGCCGCTCTATAAAGCCCTCACACAAAGCCACGTCTTATTGACTATTTTTAATAAAGAGGGCTGGCACAGTAAAATTGGACCATTGTTACAAACAATAAAGGAGACAGACTTTGATTACAAGTATTGGGGAGCAATGCAGGGATGTTTTCGGATCGAGCATTTGCTTTCCAACGCGAGTTCTGTCAACTGAAAACAGCAACTCAGAGCAAATAGTCCTTAACAAGCAGTTTGGAGACGAGCAGAAAACAGCACTGCACAGCAAGAGGGGAGCTGCTTTCTGCATCTAGCACAGGCAGCACAGCAGTGCGGGGAAGGCAGGCAGGGCTGCAAGGTGAGATGTGTGTGCAGTGCACACAAAGAGCTGTAAATAACAGCCCAGCTCGACACAGAGACCTGGCAAGGTTCTTCTCGCCGGTATCTGACCGGCCAGCATAGCATTAGTGGGAGTCACCTGGGTAATTCCCTGCTCAATGTGACACACCACCTCTCAGATCAGGGACCATCTGCAAATAAATCTGGACCCCGGCAGTGATATCATCTGTCACAGTGTCTGGTGCAGCACAAAGCACCTAGGGAGGACAGAACCCATTTTTAGGGAAGGGGAGGAATACAGAGCTCCATTTTTTGGGTCCATGGGGGTGAGCTGTCGCCGTGCACACAGCGGGGCTCACAACAGTCACAGCCTGGACATGAGCAGGCAGTGAGGGCAAGCATAGCAAGAGCCTTGGAGAGAGCCTTCCGGAGTGCCCATGGGGGGACGAGCTGCAGCAGCAGGCTTGGGAATGAGGGAGGAAGGAGATAATCAGATCTGAAATTCCCATCAGTATGAAATGAGACTTAACTCAGGAGCTTGCCAACGCAGACTGACTGTTCTTTCTAATGTCTGTGACAACTCTGCCTCAAATTTCAAGCTTCTCTCAGCAGTAACTACTCCCCCATGCAGCTGTAATGGCCAGAAAGAGACTGGCTTTTATGTAACCCCAAAAGGCGAGCAGAAAGGGAAGCAGCAGCCACACACACACATGGAGAACTGGGGGGGGAGAAATCAGCAGAAGGCTCTGCTGAGCGCTCAGGGCGATATCCAAGCTCACAATGCAGCCACAGAGAAGTGGGATGCAGCAATCAGAAACGCTACGCTTCCACACTCAGAGAGAGACCCAGCAATCAGTGCTGCATCCGAGCAATAGGGAGCAAAATTATAGAGCAAACTGCCATGCGATGCCACAAACTCCATCCTGCCAGCTGTAACAAGGATTCATTCCCAAAAACGCGTCACGGGCTCATCTGTCATTAAGGGCCCAGCCTGCCAGCAGCTGAGCAGCAGTCAGCAGTGAAGGGCAGCTGCAGGGCTGCTTCCTTTCACAGTGGTCTATTCTCCCCATGAGCCGCAGGGGAGACGCACGGTAAATCCCCACCATCTCCTACCATTGCAGTGTGCAGGCTGCTTCCTCACCCCCAGCACACACAGCTTTCCCAAAGCAGGACCAACCCAAAGCACGGCTTCTCCCTGCAGCAGGACCTCCAAAGCACCCTCCATGTGTAACCAACCCACTCCAACCACCAACCCCACAACCCAATTGGGGTGCAATGCAGCAGCGTTACCAAAAAGCCATGCAGACAAATGGAACGGGGCAGGAGCAGCACTGCACTCTTCCAGGGCTATGTTCTGACATTGGGAAGCATCAGCTCTGCTCTCACAGAATAACAGCATTGTACAGCATGCCATGGGGCAGCAAACAGCCACGTTGCTTTGTTGGAAAGGGACTCGCCGGGTGCTGCTGCTACTGGGGAACACACAGCCACCCCCCATCCCCCCTCCCAGGCCTCTGCCTGGCTGCAAGCAGAGCCAGCTGGCTGACCTCGACATTTTTCACTCCTGAAACCAAGCTGTTGCCCTCACGGATGCTTTCATTCATTTAGCTGACCAACATTTTAAACAAAAAGGGTCACCCAGTGCTCCTATGGGGCACGGGCAGAACGAACGCATCGAAATGGAACTCTAGGAGAGATGTGCCAAGAGAAAGGCAGTTTAGTTCAATTAAAGAGAGCTGTCAGAGGTTTCATTCTCAGAATACGGAACTATTGATTAAACAGGAATTAAAGCTCAGAAACAGAAAGGTTTCAAGGTCTTTGCTGTGAGGATACACGTCAGGAGGGACACTGGGCTCCTTCAGTGCGCACTGCTCCGGCTTTGATGCCTCCTAGGAAACAGGAGCAGAGCACTCCCCATTAAACCTAGGAGTGATTTTGGCAAGGACACAAAGTCAGCAGCAATGCAGCCTCAATCAACAGGTAGCTTTGGTGTGCTCAGGGCCAGAGGAGCCCCTCTGAGGTTCTCACTTACCCCAGGAGCACGGAGGCAGCCGCGCCGTGGTGACACCTGCAAACTCCAAATGCATTTCAGCAGAC